ATGTAGGTCTATTACAGACTCTTATGATATGTCAAATCTACCGTCAGTTCGTAATGATTTCGAGATGAGAAGAACTGACAAGAAACACAGCTCGTATTCTTTTCAAATAAACGTTGTACATGTTTACAATAATACAGATTCATTTTTAAATTCAAATTTGGAAGAATAGAGTGACCACCAGCATGTGCTACGCAAGTCAGTATTATATATATTGGTCAGTACAGACTGATATATTGAACTAGTAAACCAGTCGTAGGTAGTAAATAAACTACAGTTCTGAACTATATGTAAACAACATATAGTAGTCACAGCTCACATCAAACATAACTTAACAACATCCATTTGTGCGAGTAACAAAATAATTTCAAAACTATGTTACTGACACTATAGGTACAGAAAAATAATTTCATGATGAGTCTGATCACATGATCAGATCCGTTACTACATCGTGGTGAATTCACGATCACATCAAACATAACTTAACAACATCCATTTGTGCGAGTAACAAAATAATTTCAAAACTATGTTACTGACACTATAGGTACAGAAAAATAATTTCATGATGAGTCTGATCACATGATCAGATCCGTTACTACATCGTGGTGAATTCACGATCACATCAAACATAACTTAACAACATCCATTTGTGCGAGTAACAAAATAATTTCAAAACTATGTTATTGATACTATAGGTACAGAAAAATAATTTCATGATGAGTTTGAACACATGATCAGATCTGTTGGAGAATTCACGATGATCACATGATCACATCTGCAAGTATATCGTGGTTAATTCACGATGAATCAAAATTAGACATATAATTTCACTTTCCAGGGGACACCGAAATATCGTATTCTAAAAGTAATCCTTAATAATATTATAAATGCGAAAGTAACTCTGTCCGTCTGTCTCGCTTACACTACTGAACCGATTTAAATGATATTTGATACACATATAGTCTAGAATTTGAAAAAGGATATAGGCTACTTTTTAATCCGAAAAAAGGTTGTAAGGGGTTGAAAGGTTATATAGAAGTATCGACAATTTACGCGGACGAATTCGCGGGCACATCTAGTTTTACATATAGAAATATGTAAAACTAGTATAATGTATGTAATGTAGAAACAATCTGTATTCAAATAAACTTAATATAAGCACTATTGCAAAGTCACATTTTTTTAATCTACCACTCATTCGGAACGTAGACTCATCACAAGAAGAACGAGTGAGAAACTTGTGTGTTGCTATTTAAAATAAATGTTGTTGAGAATTCCATATTTAAGGACTGTGTGTATATAAACTGCCAGATTTGTTACCGGTGTGTTGTTTACACGCCAGGTCACATGTGGATGCGAGCGTGTTTATTCTTAAAAACACGACCTTGACCGATCCGATTTTTTGAGTGCTAACCGTTGGAGACCCGAAGGTCGACGTTCGATGAAATTTTGGTCTCATCGTCGAGTAATTTCGGAGGAGTATCGTTACAAAGAGTGCAAATCTGATCTCTAAGATCACTCCTCTCAATAAACAGCTACTTGAGTAACAAAATAAAACAGTAATAATCATCAGAGCAGTCCTTACAATAAGCTAGTTGTTTTTTTAATGACGTACCGCGTCACGGCCGACAGCCTGCGAGGACATGCCATTGTTTCCGCGGTCGTAGAAAAAAAAATCAATAAAATATTTCAATGATCAAATCACATCGCCCGCTCTATAAAAATCCCATAGCGTTCAACGAAATTACTCCACTACTTGTACAGTGTATTTCCACCGTTGTAACTATAGCATTTAAGTTGAAATTCGAATGCAGATAGGTTATAGAGGTGGGTGCGTGGTACAAAAATAATACACCACGTGTAATAATTTAAAAGTGATTTAAATATTTTTTTTTGTAAATATTCGATGTGTGAGTTATTTAGTATATTCATTCTATTTCAAAGTCAAAATCATTTATTAATGTATGAACACTTTTGGCCACTTATGCACGTCAGAATTTTTTATCCCCATCCTTACACCGTTTCAGTTTAGAAGAACTGGTAAGAAACTCAACTGGTCATTTTATTTATCACTTTCCTTGTTTTTTTTTTAATTACAGTGCTGTAATGGTGTAGTAGTAATAATAATAATAATAATCTCAAGACAATTCGCACAGCGCCATCTAGACCCAAGTTAAGCTAGCTAAAGCTTGTGTTATGTGTACTAGACATCTGATACAAATACATAGATAATTTTTTTTTCGTAAATACATACATATTATACATAGAAAATACCCAGACCGATACAAACAATCTTACTCATGATTACAAATGTTTGTGCCGTGCGAGGAGTCGAACCCGCGACCATCGGACGTAAAGCGGTGTACTAGACCGCTAGACCACCGAGGCCGTAGTAATATTAATAAATTACTGTGCACGTAGAAGAAATACGATAAGAATAACAGTAAATAGAAAATTAATAACAATAGGAGGTCTTACCGCTGTAAGCAATTTTTACAGATAACCTGGAATCTAGAACTAATGTACACTGAAAAGGTAGATGGCATACACAAGACACTATAATTGTATATGTATACTAGCAGTACACGCGACTTCGTTCACGTGGAATTTAACTTTATTTTATTAAAATAAAAGTAGCCTATGTTACTCCTTATTACATCAGCTACCTGCCAATCAAAGTCCCGTCAAAATTGGCCCAGCATTTCAGAGATTAGCCGGAACAAACAGACAGACAGACAAAAATTGTAAAAAATGTTATTTTGGCGTATTTATATTCATAAACATGTATTAAAAAACGGTTATTTCAATATTACAAACAGACACTACAATTTATTTATATGCACTTTTATTTTAGAAATTTTTTTAATAAGAACAGCGGTTTAAATCATTGTTTAAATAAAATAAATCCGCTACGCTTGCAATTTGGACCACACACTTATCGTAATTTCATACATGAAATAGTTGGCGTTACCAAATGGGGATTAGACAGAGACGGCGAATGTGCTAGTGCGCGTGCGAGCGAGACGGCCGCATCGAGCGGACTCAATTTTTGTGGTTTCCACACTAGCTGCTTTTAAATGTTTTCAATAATAGATTTTTATGTTCATACTTCATATTACTTGAGGGCGTAAGCAGGACTAATTGAGACTCGATCATCTTCACGCGAAACATACATTTTATTATAAATTAGGTATGCTTGCGTTAAATTTTAATAAAACAAAATAGCCTGTGTTATTCTGATGCTTAACCTATATTATTGTAAAGTTTCATCAAAATTCCTTCAGTAGTTTTTTTGTGAAAGAGTAACAAACATTCATACCTACCATTTTTGCATTAACAATATTTATTTTTTATTTTATATACAATTTTCCACAGACATATTCGTCCGTGCCTTTTTTAATTTACTTTAATATTATTATATTTCTTTAATTTCCACTTTTGTACAACTCCAGCCGAGATGTTACAATTTGCCTAACAGTGGCACCGAGGCAGACCTTATCCGTCTGGCCCAGGACCTCCGCTGGCCGGCCGGGTGAGTTGACGACATGCAGTGTCACCTATCTTTATTACGATTTTTTTCCTTTTTCTTCAGAAGTGTTAGGCTGTGCTCCTAGGCTCCTATATATTTTTTTGTTTTTGTATGTTTATAGTATTATGTTTTTTCTTTCTATTTTTTTCTTTTCCTAGGAACCAGTTACATTTACCAATATGCATATACAATTATATAAATCTTCACTCAATCTCAATTCACTTTCCGATGGGCCTGGCCCGGGCCAACGCATCAAGAGTGGACTGATCTAATTGAGAGTTTACAATATTAATAACTAGCTGTACCCGCGACTTCGTCCGCGTGGATTTTAACTTTATTTATCTAAAATAAAAGTAGCCTAAGTTACTCCTTATTACAGTAGCTACCGGCCAATAAAAGTACCGTCAAAATCTGTCCTGTCATTTCAGAGATTAGCCGGAACAAACAGACAGACTAAAATTGTAAAAAATATTATTTTGGTGTATGTACCGTATATATTCATATGCATGTAGTAAAAAACGGTTATTTCAACATTACCAACAGATACTACAATTTTATTTATATGTATAGATGTATAGATAAGATAACCCTGGACAATTAACAAAGCGCCATCTAGTCCTAAGTTAAGCAGACCTTGTGTTATGGGTACTAGACAACTCATATAAATACATAGATATAAATCATATACATAGAAAACACCCAGACCGATTATATTCATGAGTATAATTGTTTGTATCCGGGTGTTTTCTGTATGTATATATGTTCAAAATCTACCCTGTATCATCGTAAACACAGATTATTATATTAGAGTCCGTTAGTTTGTTCCCGCGCTTTTACTTCCCCTCCCTTACCTAGTACTGAACTGACCGTACAGCGGCCTTGACGCGCGCGCGCATTGTGGTGTGAATTAAAATAAATTAGAACTGTGTTAAACCTACTGTGAAACTGGAAAGCTAGCGAAGATACCTTCGAGACCCTGAAGCCCAAGAAATCCGCAGAACCATACAGGTACCATACATACGTGACAGACGTTTTTCCCTATATATATACATAGTACTTTCCCTAACATTTTGGTAGCAGAGAGTATTTTCCCTAACAATATATGTATGATATATGCATTGACAGAAAATATATCTATGTATTTATATCAGTTGTCTAGTACCCATAACACAAGCTCTACTTACCATGAGACTAGATGATACTGCGTGAATTTTCCTGAGATATTTTTATTATTATCACCCATTAAAACCAGGATTATCACAAGGACAGTAACACTAATACACAAGTCTTCAATCGATAAAAAAAACACCATTCATTCTTGTTACAATAACCTTTTTAACACAGGTAAAACCGCGGAACGCTATTAGTGTTATAAACGAAACACTCTCATTTGACCGCGCAATAGGTCATCACAACGCATAGCACCCGTTCCCGAGTATGACGCAATATAAATCAGTAACGTCATAACACTCACCTCGCCGTGCAGCCCGCGACCGTCCGGCGTGTTCTCAGGCAGGAAGTACAGCCTGAGGCTGACCAGGGTCTGATCAGACACCCTGTCCGTCCATAGCAGCTGGAGCTCGCCTGTGGAGAAGCGAATATTTTTTTTTAAAAATCTACCGACATCAAAGGAAGAGATGAGAGAACAGTGTTTTTATGCGCTCATAATTTCTTTCCACGTGAACCGATTTTGGTAATTCTTTTTCCATTTAAAAGATGGTACTTCTCTTTTCATACCTTGATTGCCATCTTCAAGGTACAAAAAAACAAACATATAGATTCTCAAATCAACAGAATTTTTATATGAGTTACTCCAATGTTTCTTTCTACTTGAACCGATTTTGATTATTATTTTTCCATTTAAAAGCTGGTGCTTCTTGTTTGATACCATATAAATATTAGACACGATACGACAGAATCGGTGGTAGTCTGGTAGCCGAACAGTCAACGCTAGCCTCCCAAGCTATATCAGGATTCTATTCAATGCCTGATGACGCCTCGTTTAGAGGCGAAACACGATGCAATATGGATGTAAATAGATGCAATAACGGTCTGAATTTGATCACCAATAGAGAAGGTCGTGACGCTTCCAGTAGCGGTGGTCAGGTTTCCGCACTGAATATTTGTGGTCTCACACATGATAATGATAGCGGAATTAAACAAAATAATATATATCTATCAAGTAATGAAAGGGACTTCCGCAAAATCACATATTTCTATAAAATACTAGCTGTCTCGGCAAACGTTGTTTTACCATAAAATAAAAAAAAATTAGGGGTGGACTACCCCTAACATTTAGGGGGATGAAAAATAGATGTTGGCCGATTCTCAGACCTACACAATACGCTCTCAAAATTTCATGAGAATCGGTCAAGCCGTTTCGGAGGAGTTTGGGAACGAAAACTGTGACACGAGAATTTTATATATAAGATATTCTATTTCCATTGGCCGTACCTGAACTTTACAGGTTCATTGGGCGAAATGGGGGCGAATGTAGATGGCACTGTAAACCCGCGTAAGGATTTACCGAGCGGCTGAAGGCCAACTCCTGCCTGATAGATACGACTGCACTTCCTACCACTTCCATAGTGAAATGAATTACCTGCCGAGGTTTCTCTAAAGACTATAGAATGGCGTGATCAAGGGTATATGAAAGGTTCTTAAGGCCTGGCCGAGATTGTCTCTAGACACTACAGAATGGGGTTTTACCAGGGTGGTATATTAGGGTTTCTTAAAGACCTTACCGAGATTTTCTCTAGATACTACAGCATGGCATTTACCAAAATTCCTCTGCGAATTCCTCTTCTTCAGCCTGTTAGAAGAGTCGGGAAATTGCTTAATATATCCTTCTTGAAAAACACCATGCTGTAGTTTTTAGAGAAAATGTCCGTAAGGTATTTAAGAAACCTTATAATTTAAGGTTTCTTAAATACCTTTTGGTGAATTTGGAATTTTGCTGAGTAAGAATTTCCCCACTCGCTCCCAAAGACGAGTGGTTGAACCTATGAAGATTTCTTGTTCAAAAAAGGTTTCGGTAACCGTTTATCGAAAGGTTGACCGAATGTGTACTTGTTTGCCAACATCGTGGTATAAAAAAATAGCAATTTCCATCCACTGTGCCATCATGTACTAAGATATCACACCTCTGTTACAGAGACAGCAGAATTCAATCAACTCACCAATGGAGACAAGCTCGGAGTCCTGCCAGATCCTCACAAAGAAGAAGTCCCCGATGGCCACGATCCTCTCGCGCGGCCCAGTCAGCCGGAGAGCTTTGTAGAAGGTGTACTGCCCGTGGTGACCGCATGGTAATCCCACCAGCTGGACACGACAAAAATATATATTAACAACACATATAATAATAGTACTAACAAGAGGAGGCCACGGAGTTTCAAAGGCTTATTTCTTTGAAACTACAGGCCTGTGATGACAGGATGGGTGGTGAGAGTAAACACACACAGTAGGGTGTAACTTATATATTAACTGTTACATCTTGAATTACTCTAGCTTACACTAATTACATAAACTATATATATGACCAACTGCGTGACCTACCTGTCGTTAGATAAAACGTACACTCGCACAATCTACTATCAAACGTGCTGATTTACATCACTATATCACAGGCCATTCTGAAATAATACTTTTGGGTTTGCAATTTTGTATACGCTTATAGGAAACTACTATACGGAGTCTCGTCTTTAAGTGAATTTCCCATATCGTGTCCTAATCGTTTTGGCCTGTTTTATTATTACGATCCTGTGTGTGTATTCCAAACATTTTTTCCCTTTTTTTACATACTATGCTATTTATTGCACGTTACCTGTAAACCCTTCATTATTCTTCAATATTTACACTACTTATTCTTATTACTCATTGGTTTCAGGGTTTCTGTTGCAAACTCTAAAAATTTTTATCTATTTACCTATCATTAATTTTCTTATTTATTTACATTGCGTTACACAATTATGGTATATCAATGAATTAAGTCACACACATAACACGCACCTTTTAGGCACTGCAACGTTATTTCTATATCTAGTCAATTTTCATAATGATATTTTTTTGTATACTGTAATTATTTATATAAAAATAACATCTATTAAAAAGAGCAACACACAAGTTTCTTGCTCATTCTTCTTGTAATGAATCTGCATTCCGAATGAGTGGTAGAATCAAAATATGACTATTCAAAAGTGCTTGTAATGAGTTTATTTGAATAAAGATTATTTCTATTTCTATTTCTATTAAACATGGGGGGCAATCCGTTATAACATGTATCACAGACTGCGTCGTTTCGCTTCGTTATGACATTTTTTTTACATTTATTTTCTGTTGATATAGAATATAGCATTGCATCGGCAATTATAACTAACTAATGTCTCGCCCCGGCTTCGCACGGGTGCAATGCTGATACTATATACCAAAATTGTTGTGTTTCTCTACAATATTATGCATGTATTAAATATACATATAAACCTTCCTCTTGTATCACTCTATCTATAAAAAAACGCTTCAAAATCCGTTGCGTAGTTTTAAAGATTTAAGCATACATAGGGACGGACAGACAGCGACAGCGACTTTGTTTTATACTACTAGTGATAACAAATATCGATAAAGTTGAAACAAATAAATAACTATAATATCGATGACAACTAATGCATCGATATAATACATCGACAACGTTACAACACTGGTCGCAGAACGCAGCCGACCATTCATTGCCATTAGGAGGCATTTAATTCCATTTTTTTTGTTGCATTTTGTTCAGGATGCGTTCACTGTACGCTGAACTTTAGTATCCTACTTTTTTTTTGTATATATTACAAAAACCAGTCAAGTCCGACACGCACTAGTGTACAAAAGTTCATTGTTGAAATAGATTTTATACTAGCTGTTTTTGTTCTGAATTTAACTTTCATTTTCTAAAATAAAAGTAGCCTAAGTTACTCCTTATTACATCTCATCAGCTACCTGCCAATAGAAGTCGCGTCAAAATCGGTCCAGCCATTTCAGAGATTAGCCGAAATAAACAGACAGACAGACAAAAATAGTAAAAAATGTTATTTTGGTGTATGTACCGTATTTATATTCATATGCATGTAGTAAAAAAACGGTTATTTCAATATTACAAACAGACACTTCAATTTTATTTATATGTATAGATGTATAGTAATAATCTCTTCCATTATTTTTATAATCAATACTAGATTTAAAGACAAACTAAAAGTCCTGAGTATCGTTTAGAAAAAGGTAATAGGTCTTTTATGGGAATGGGTATAAAAATTTACAATAAGATACCAAAGGATATATTGGAATTACTTTTAAATAAATTCAAAACATCTGTTAAATCATATTTACTGCGCAAAGCCTATTACTCACTAAACGATTACTTGAATGACGAGCGTGCATGGCAATAGTTGTTCATGCACTGGATTTTCATTTAATGTTAGACATACAAAAATTTGACGTTCATAAGCGGCTAAAATGTCATGAATAAATGATCTTTGGTTTTGATTTGATTTGATTAATGTTCTACATAGACACCTATATGCAGATAATGTAAATAAACTGGTTTCTAATAAAAAGAAATTCAGTTGAGTTTTTTGCCAGTTTTTATCAATTTTTTTTTTTATTTATTTACACACAAATTTATACAACATAATATAATAATTGAATCAGTATATTGAAGAAAAAAATATTAATACAAAAACTTGACATTTATAAGCGGCTAAAATGTCCTACAATAAATGATTTTTGATTTGAGCTTGTACCATCGCACTGCTCGCCATAGACAGGGAATTCATCCCCGCCCGTTGGAACCTAAGTGGTCTCGGACAGTGCTGTTTCAGAGGAGCTTCCTCCCGCGTACACTTACATTGTGGAATAAACTACCTGCCGCGGTTTTCTCACGAGACTACAGCATGGGGTTTTTCAAGAAGGGTATATTGAGAGTCAGCAACGCGCATGAGACACCGCTGGTGTGCAAGCCAGGTCCATAGGAAACCGTTTACCATCAAATGAGATTGCAGAATGAACTATCTGCCAAGGTTTTCTCGAGAGACTACAGCGTGGAGTTTTTCAAGAAGGGTATATTGAGTCAGCAATGGCGCATGAGACAACGCTGATGTGCAAACCAGGTCCATAGGAAACCGTTTAACATCAAATAAAATTGTAGAATGACCTATCTGCCGAGGTTTTCTCGAGAGACTACATCGTGGGGTTTTTCAAGAAGGTTATATTAAGGATCGGCAGCGCGTGACGCCCTGGTGTTTCAGGCATCCATAGGTATTTTTTTTTACCGTTTACCATCAGATGGGCTGTATGCTTGTTCGTGCCGAAATATCGGGAACTCAATAAATATAAAAGCGTGGGAAGGCCTCCAACAAGGTGGACCGACGATCTGGTAAAGATCGCTGGAAGGCATTGGATGCGAGCAGCACAGGACCGATCGTCGTGGAGATCTTTGGGGGAGGGCCTATGGCCAGCAGTGGACATCTTCCTGGCTGCGATGATGATGATGATGAATAAATATAAAACGTGGTAAGATCCCGTGATTTTTACTAATTATACGTATATTATACAGGTAACTCACCTCGAAAGAGAAACAAATTTTTATGCTATTATTTCATAAATTATGAACAATTTTAAACGAATTTATTATTTATCAAATCTGTTGAACCAAGAAACTTCCTGAATAAACGACGTACGTCATTCTGACGTTACAACTGAATGTGCGACAAATTCAAATTGTTGGCGATATACCTCCTTCTATATTTCTTTTCATATATATTGAAATTTATATAACAAAACAAAGTATTATATAAGTATAGTTATATAATACTTTGTTTTGTTATATACCTACATTAAAATCGCTATTAATAAATAGGGGTTGATGCTACAAGGGTGAAAATTTAGGGTCGTTTTTTTTAATGCCACATTATAAATAAATATAAATAAAAACATTTGCCCGAAAAATAAAAATATGTGGGTAATCTTTATCACTTAGGGGTATGAAAAATAGATAGTAGCCGCTTCTCAGATCTACTGAACATGCGTATAAAATTTCATAAAAATCGATCAAGCCGTTTGGGAGGAGTATTGTAACTAACATTGTGACACGAGAATTTTATATATAAGATTATAACGCTAAAGAATTTGTTTGTTTGAACGCGCTAATCTAAGAAACTATTCGAATTGAAAAATTCTATTTGTGTTGGATAGTCCATTTGTCGAGGAAGGCTTTAAGCTATATAACATTACGCTACGACCAATAGGAGCGGAGCTGCAATGACAAATATTGCAAATGTAGATGAAACGTAGACGAAGTTGCGAGGGTCAGTGGAGACTGGTCTGTTCGGAGTAGTCTTTGCTTTTGACAAAACTGCTATAGCGCAGAGGTCCCTAAACTTTTTTGTGTCGTAGACCCCTTGCCATATCTTTCGGTTATAGGTAGACCCTCCATTCTTACCTGGTATTGATTTTTTGAAAATTTCTAACTGTATTAAAGTTTTGTGTTAAAAACATAAAGTAAAAACAACAAATGACCCCTGTCGTAGACCTTGCAGGGTGTCATAGACCCCTGAGGGTATAGACCACTTTGGGAATCACTATAGCGTATACTGGTGGTCACTGTATTCTCCCGAATTTGAATTTAAAAATGAATGAATATAATACATATACAAACTTATTTGAAAATATTACGACCTGAGTTTCTTGTCAGTTCTTCTCATCTCGAAATCATTCCAAACTGACGGTAGATTTGACATATCATAAGTCTGTAATAGACCTACATACATGAATAAAGATATTTTGAATTTATTTGATACAACTTTTGACATTATATATTTTCTGTGTTTTTCTATTGCTGTGTCAAATAAATACAGTAATACTGTAATGGATTGGTGAGTTGGTACATTATATTATTTATAATATAGTATTTATATTATGTATATCATAGTATTTCATTTATCACTACATAGTATAAAATAAAGTAGCTGTCACCGTCTGTCCATCCCTAAATATGCTTAAATCTTTATAACTACAGAATGGATTTTGAAGCGGTTTTTTTTATAGATAGTGATTCAAGAGCTAGGTTTATATATATAACACGTGTACACCCGAGCAAAGCCGGGGCGAGTAGCTAGTTTTACATATAAAAAAGTCATTCTCTGCGTTGCCAGCTGTATTACAGACTAGCTATACCCGCGGCTTCGCTCGCATCGCTCGCTGGCTACTAAATGGCGCTGAAGTAGCAAAACGTTGATATTTTATTTTGTTGGTATTTATATATTTTTCTTTTTAATAAAAAGTATTCTATG